TAGAACCTGATCAGCTTGATTCAGCACAGCTATCCCCTCGGGCCGGGTGAAAACACGTGAAATCACACGCAGCTGTTTCTCAGGGCAGCTGTGATTTAGCCGAGTTAAAGAGGTCGAGTTCCAGCTGGGGGTGTGAGTGACTGGACACCAGCTCCAGCCCTCCTGGCTGACTTGACACCACCATTTCCATTCTGGAATTCTCTTCACAGGATAAAAAGCATTTTAAATAGGATGAAAATGAGGACAAGAGAGGCCAGGCGCCGTGGCTCACGCCTTAATCCCAACACTTCTGGAGGCTGAGGTGGGCGGATCACAAGGTCAGGAGTTTGCGACCGGCCCGGCCAATATGGTGAAACCTCGTCTCTACTAAAAATACAAAAAAAGTCGCCAGGCGTGGTGGCGAATGACTGTAGTCCCAGCTACTCGGGAGGCTGAGGCAGGAGACTCGCTTGAACCCGGGAGACGGAGGTTGCAGTGAGCCGAGATTGTGCCGCTGCACTCCAGCATTCCAGCCTGGGGGACAGAGCGAGACTCCCCCTCAGGAAAAAAGAAAAAGAAAGAAAGAAAAAGAAAAAAGAAAATGAGGCCAACACATGGCTCTTGGGGAAATCACTCATTCATTTGTTCAGGAGAATTTCCAAACTGATTCATGATCAAAATGAGTGACTGAGACAAGAATTTCAATTGATCAAGGTTTATGCAGTTGGCAGTAGGGCATGTCCAGGAACATGTGACCCATAGACACCTCTGCAGCTGTTTTTCTGAGGTTTTCAGGGTAGTTACTGTTTATACATTTCCTTACATGGGGGCAGGCATGGAGGCAGAGGGGTGGGTAGGTGGTGAGGTGAATAAATTCCTATCAGTCTTTAGTTAGTGCCCAGTAAATCTACATTTACAAAAAATATATGTTTTTATTTATTTTTTTTGGAGACAGACTCTGTCGCCCAGTCTGGAGTACAGTGGCATAATCTCAGCTCGCTGCAGTCTCTGCCTCCCGGGTTCAAGGAATTCTCCTGCCTCAGCCTACTGAGTTGCTGGGATTACAAGTGCCCGCCACCACGCCCAGATAATTTTTGTATTTTTTGGTAGAGATGGTGTTTCACCATGTTGGCCAGGCTGGTCTCAAACTCCTGACCTGAAGTGATGTTCCCCCGTCCCACGCCTGGCCTCCCAAAGTGCTGCGATTATAGGCGTGAACCACCATGCTGGCCAACATTTTACCCAAGAGGGGCATGTTTGCAGGCAAAAAGGGAGTAAAGGAAGCATCAATTACCCAGACGCAGAGGTCTCTGGGTAGGTGGAGGAATGACTCACTCGCCTTTGTTCTGAGCCTGGGAAGACAAGCTTGTAATTGACCTTATCAGTGTGGAATAAAACAGACCTGAATTTTACGGGCTAGGCTTAAGCTTGTAGACCTCAAGTTACAAAGGGCGAGTTCTTGTTTATTGGGAGGCCAGCCACGAATTTCCTTTTTTTTTTTTTTTTTCTGAGACAGTCTCACTCTGTCACCCAGGCACGATCTCAGCTCACTGCAACTGCCACTACCCGGGTTCAAACGATTCTCCTGCCTCAGCCTCCGGAATAGCTGAGATGACAGGCCCAGCTAATAAGAATTGCCTTATGAATGATGTGTGGGGGGCCTTGTGGATGCCTGGGGCCTCTTCCCTTCTGGTGGGGATCTGGTCATGGAAACGCCAGCAACATGTCCAACTGGAAGAGGGAGCTGCCTGACTCAGCTCCTAGACTGACCTCTCCTTTTGCATAAGGAGTTGCCTTACACAGTTAAGTATTAATATTATACAGAGTCAAATGTCAGGGGTTCAGGGAGGCAGGGAACAGACAAGTCCTTGCCCTGCTGGAGCCCCATGTCCCTGGGAGTCACACACACTGAAGTCAATGACTTGAAGTGATTAAGTTAACACAAGAAGCTGCAATGAGATTTTTTTTTTTTTTTTTTTTTTTGCAGACGAAGTCTTGCTCTGTCGCCCAGGCTGGAGTGCAATGGCGCAGTCTCCGCTCACCACAACCTCCGTCTCCTGAGCTCCGGCGATTCTCCTGCCTCAGCCTCCTGAGTAGCTGGGATTACAGGCACCCGCCATTATGCCCAGCTAATTTTTGTATTTTTCGTAGAGACGGGGTTTCACCATGTTGGCCAGGCTGGTTTTGAACTCCTGACTTTGTGATCCACCCGCCTCAGCCTCTCAAAGTGCTGGGATTACAGGCATGAGCTGCTGCACCCAGCCGGGGAGATTATTTTTTTTAGACAGTTTCTCACTCTGTTGCCCAGGCTGGAGTACAGTTGCAGGATCTTGGTTCACTGCAGTCTTGACCTCCTGGGCTCAAGTGATTCTCCCTCCTCAGCCTCCCAGGTAGCTGGGACAACAGGCACGTATCATCATACCCAGCTACTTTTTGTATTTTTGGTAGAGATGGGGTCTTGCCATGTTGCCCAGGCTGGTTTTGAACTCCTGGGCTCAAGTGATTCGCCTCCCTCGGCCTCCTGAAGTGCTGGGATTACAGGTGTGAGCCACTGCAGCTGGCCTTGTTGCAATGAGGTGTTGAAGCAGTGTTTTGTGGTGGGATTTTTTTTTTTCCTCATCGAAAAATAATTTATTGGGCACAGTGGCTCATGCTTGCAATCCCAGCACTTTGGGAGGCCAAGGTAGGCAGATCACTTGAAGTTGGGAGTTCGAGATCAGCCTGGCCAACATGGTGAAACCCCATCTCTACTAAAAAAACACAAAAATTGCTGAGTGTGGTGGCTCACTGAGCACTTTAGGAGGCCCAGACAGGCAGATCACCTCAGGTCAGAAGTTGGAGACCAGGCTGGCCAACATGGTGAAAGCCCATCTGTACTAAAAATACAAAAATTCAGCCAGGAGTGGTGGCGGGCACCTGTAATTCCAGCTACTCAGGGAGGTTGAGGCAGGAGAATCGCTTGAACCAGGAGGGAGGTTGCAGTGAGCCGAGATTGTGCCACTGCACTCCAGCCTGGGTGACACAGCGAGACTCTATCTCAAAAGAAACAAACAAACAAAAAGTTTTGCCTTCCAATACTTCATGTCAGCTTTTTATTTTTCTCTTTAGGATAGGGTCTTGCTGTCACCCAGGCTACAGTGCAGTGACACGATCATGGTTCACCACAGCCTCAACTGCCTGGGCTCAAGCAATCCTCCCACCTCAGCCTGCCCGGTAGCTTGGACTGCAGGTGCACCACCACACCCAGCTAATTATTTTTGAGACAGAGTCTCACTCTGTCACCAGGCTGGAGGGCGATATCATTATCTCAGCTCACTGCAACCTCCGCCTCTGGGGTTCAAGCAATGCTCCTGCCTCAGCCATGTGCCACCAAGCCTGGCTAATTTTTGCATTTTTAGTAGAGATGGGGTTTCACCATGTTGGCCAGGCTGGTCTCAAACTCCTGACCTCTGGTGATCATCCTGCCTTGGCATCCCACAGTGCTGGGATTACAGGTGTGAGCTCCCATGCCCAGCTCACGATCATTTTCTCACCACGCTTTGGCTTCGCTTTCTTGAGGGCCTCAGGGGTGCCTGACCAAGGCAAGTGTCACCCTATCACCTCAGTCCACCACACATATGCTCATTACTCTGAGGGGGTCATGGGGGGCTGAATCACATGTCACAGGGTCACAAAACATTATTATGTATCATATGGCCTATTACATACCCAGGCTACGCACCGCAGGGCCTGTGGCTCCTGGGCTACACACCTGCACAGCGGGCCACTGTAACACGGCACTAAGTATTTGCTCATCTAAACGCAGAAAAGGCACAGTGAGAATATGGCTGAAGAAGCTCTGCCCGTAAGAATCCCGAGGCTGTCTCTCCTTCTTCAGCAGCCGTCTGGAGCTCTGCCGGGCTGTGTAGTAGGGTACACCACCTGGAAGGCAGGAGACCTCTGAAAGGACTGCCAGAGAAGGGAGGCGGCTGCATGCCCATGTGTGGGCGGGTGGGTCGTCAGGAAATGACCCCATTGTAACCAGGGCACCACTCTGGTGGGGATATCCATAGTGGGAGGTGTGTGTGTTCGGGGAATACTCTGTACTTTCCACTGAATTGTGCTGTGAACCTAAAACTGTTCTAAAAAATAAGGTTGGCCGGGTGTGGTGGCGCATGCCTGTAACCCCAGCATTTTGGGAGGCCAAGGCGGGCGGATCACAAGCCCATCCTGGCCAACGTGGTGAAACCCCATCTCTCTCTACGAAAAATACAAAAATTAGCTGTGCATGGTGGCTTGTGCCTGTAGTCCCAACTCCTTGGGAGGCTAAGGCAGGAACATCACTTGAATCCAGGAGGCAGAGGTTGCAGTGAGCTCACACCACTGCACTCCAGCCTGGCTCCAGGGCGAGACTCCATCTCTAAACAAATCAATAAAGTCTACGGAAAACAATACAGGATACCCAATGAACGCTGTGTTTCAGATAAGGAAGGAATAACAGAATACAATGACGCACTGGCCAGGCATGGTGACTCACCCCTGTGATCCCAGCACTTTGTGAGGCCAAGGCAGGTGGATCACCTGAGGTCAGGAGTTCAAGACCAGCCTGGCCAACATGGCGAAACCCCATCTTTATAAAAAAATTAAGTTAGAATGTTTTATAGCTAACTTGTACTAAAAATACAAACATGTTTCTTTGCTTTTTTTTGAGATGGGGTCTCACTGTGTTGCCCAGGATGGACTTGAACTCCTGGACTCAAGCAATCCTCCTGCCTCTCAGCCTCCCCAGTAGCTGGGATTACGGTTGCACGCCACTGTGCTCAGTTTCTTATTGTAAGATACTAGAAAATGATGAGACCTGTGCTCATTGGAAGAGAAACAGCCACAGACACTAAAATAAATCTATGAGAAAGCAACAGGCATCACCAAACAGAAAACAAAACTCGCAGGGAAGGGCACACATGTATTTACTCAAACATCTTGGGAACACGTATGACGTGCTTGACACGTCCCGTACCATCTGATAGCGTGCAGAAAAGTCATCATTCACTCTCTCCTGGGGTGGAGGGTGAGGACCCCTCTCTGGACTCACTGGGAAGTGGTTTCTGATGTGTTTTCAGGTGACGTTTGAATGTTCCCAGCTGACGGAAGACGTTTCCACACATGGGACACTTGTAGGGTTTCTCCCCAGAGTGCGTACGCAGGTGAACGTTCAGGTTCCCCTTGTGGCTGAAGACCTTGCTGCAGAATTTGCATTTGAACGGCTTCTCCCCCGTGTGCATCCTCCTGTGACCCTGCAAGGTGGACTCGTGGGCGAACTGCTTGTTGCAGACGTCACACGTGTAGGGCTTCTCGCCGGTGTGGATTCGCTGGTGAACCCGGAGGTCTGAGGCCTGCAAGAAGCGCTTCCCACACTCATGACATTCAAAGGGTCTCTCTCCTGTGTGTGATCTATTGTGGAGCTTTAGCTGGGAGAAATACTTAAATTCTTTACTGCACACGGCACACACAAAGGGCGGCAGTGCCACGGCTTCTTGGCCATCGGGGTGACTGCCTGTGCTCTCAAGGCCTGGGGAATGAACCGGATTCATCCCAGCTGGGCCCGGGGAGTCTCTGTTGCCCACAGGTGTGGCTCCTCCTTGAGGCTCTTCTTGGGAAATGGAGGTGGCGTCTGGTTTGCTTCTTTTGGGACCTCTCGGATTCGGAGAGTCTCTGTCCTCGCTGTGAGTCGAAGCTTCTGTCTCCACCGCGCAGGCAGAAGCTGTGTCAGCATCCACATTCTCCACAGAGGCTCTTTTTTGGGGTTCCTTCCCATCCTTTGCCCTCTCCAGATCTGCTGGAGTAAGAGATTCCATGCACAACAGTTAATAAGGCACATTTTCAATACACCAAATTCATTGCAACCAAAAACTGATGTTGGCTGAGAACATCCACCTTAACCTCAGACCTAAGAAACTGGACCATAGATCTCTGGAAAGTGGGAGATGGAGAGGATTTGGGAGCTGAGCACCAGCTCCCCCCAGACATGATACTGCTGGGTCCCCAGTCCCATACCCAGGAAGAGAGTGGCTAATTTTTCCAGGTCCAAATCTTCATACTCACCGTGGCCCTTTGGAAGCTGAGGCTCTGGGGATGTGAGTCCTGGCTTCTCTTCGCTGTTTTCCTTCAGATTCTTCTCCAAGGTCTGCTTGGGTCCTGGAGACTTTGGGTCACCTTTTATGTCAGTAGTCTCTGGCAGCAGGAAGTCCCCTCCCTAACGATGAGAAACCAAGAGCAATGACTGCCGGGTCTACACTGGTGGAAGCACAAACATCTGCGTCCCTTCCTGATTGGATGCACCAACTTTTCTAATGACACAGGTGTGGAAACATGTGCACACTTCCTCTGGGCCACCCCACCACCCCAAGTCAGCATCACCACCTCATTTCTGAGTCTGTCCCTAATTGGGACCCTCCATAGTCTAAATCAGCTCCTGTGCCTGGTGGTTTTCACTCTGGTTCTCTGAGCCTATGTCTCCCAGGGATGCCACCGTCTCCCTGCCCCCGACGCTGGAAGGAGCAGGACTCTAGGTCAACGTCCCTCACCTGTGGCACCACTGGCACAGGGGCTGCATCACCCTCCTGGTGGGGGCACTCCTGTGCAGTGCGGAGACCCCGCCTCTACCCTCCGGAAGCTGCGAACACCCCACCACCCTCTACAATGACACACAAAAACATCTCCACGCATGGCAACTGGGTCCTGAAAGCCAAAATCACCCCAGTTGAGAAACACTCCTCAAATTAAGAAATTGACAATCTGTAGAAACCAATTCCTTGCTGAATTATTACGTGAAATGTCTGAGGAAGCCGGCCGTGGGGAAGGGACCTTCACTTCATTCATTTGTGCCAACTGCCTCCCTCACTTCACTGACACCGTTTCTTAGCCCCCACCCTAAATGCTAAAAGTTTTCATGGAAAAGTAGACGAGCCTTCACTCTCTTTGATGGTTCAGGAATGTCTGGGGATGTACCATGTCCATGGAGGATGGCTCTAATTTTGTCCTGTGCCAAATCTCTCAATCAGTCCAGCAGCCACACGATTTCCTCCTGTTCCTTCTCCCACCTCTGCCCAGACACCAGAGCCTCACACACTCACCTGCCCCCTGGACAGTGTGGGGACCCTGGGCAGGGTCTGCAGCTCTCGGCTGGCCTGGCCTTCCCCCGGGTGCATGTCGTTCACAGAGGAGGCCCGCTGGCTGGACACTTCTCTCAGATCATCCCTGACGCTGGCGGGGGCTTCGGCCATCTCAGCATCTGAGTCCAGCATAAGATATTCGTTGCCAAGCAAGTTGACCACAGACTGTAGAGGGAAAAAGACCATCAGACTCAGGGTGAGAACCTGAAAGTAGCTCTCACATTCCCTGGGTCCTGCCATCATGCTCACACTTTACTATAATTAATGTTTAAAATCGCCTTCCCGATGCCGAGTTAGCTCTGTGGACACAGCAGTCCAGTTTGAAATGTTATCCTCTCTAGACTCCAGCACCTGCCTGCACCTGGAAGATTCTAAGTAAGAACATAAATATGGGTCCTTTGGATGAAAGGGTCTCTAAACCAAGAAGAAAAGGGGAAATACTCTGGGTGAACCCAGCTCAATTTGCTGATGGCAGTTCACCTCGTTATGGAAATTAGGGGCTTCTGTGAGGACCTCCAGAGAGATGCCTGGATCTCTGATGCCAGCCACTTTCCCGCCTCAAGTGGGGACTTTTGGACCTTCAGTTCGCTCTAATGCCTCCTTCTGTACGTTCCATCAGGCGTAATATTTCACCAATGTCTTTCTTTCATGCTGGCCTCACACAGGATGTGGGTCCCTGTATCCCCTCTGCCTGTCCATCTCTTAGACCAGGGATTTGCAACATTGGCTGTGCTGATATTTGAGACTGGATAATTCGTTGGCCCCCAGCCCGGCTCCCCTTCCCTGCACCAACCACGAGGGTCCCACTCACCCATTTCTTGGGTCTTCCGTTGTTCCGTAGCAGGTCCTCCAGCTCTTTGCAGCTCCGCACACCGTTCATCATGACTAAGACCTGGAGCTCCTGGGGCATGGAGATCATGAACTGCTCCATCACCAGCATGTCCAGGATCTGCTCTTTGGTGTGGAGGTCGGGCCTCAGCCACAGATGGCACAGCTCAGTGAGTTTCCTCAGAGCCTGGATGGGGTCCGACCGCTCCGGGCAGCTGAACATCCTGAAGTTCATGTGCCAAGTCTCAGGGTCCCCGTAGTCATTTCTAAGTTGAGTTCCTGGGGATGCCACGGACTGTGGCAGCTGTAAACCAGGGCTGTTTTGGGGTTCTCCCTGACGCCATGGGAGTCTGCAATTTGCAGCCATATCTACTGGAGAATTTTTCAGTCTCTGAGCAAGCTCTAGCATCGAATTGAGACCTGTCTACACAGGCCACCCCTGGTTTTTCTCGGTAATGGATTCACTGTGCTCAGAAGTCTGCAGAAGGAAAGCATAAGCCCAATTAGTTTAAGCTTATACTTCACCCACCCCACCCTTCCAAATCCCTCATCCCAATCCTAGATCCCTCTTCCCCTCTAGCATCGGACTCAGCAGCGTGGAAATCAATCCACCCTGTTATTCTTCCAGTGTCTATACTATACTGGACTGCATGTTCTGGGGTAACTCTGAGTCCTCCCCTGGATTCTGACCTCTAGGGGATTATTGTGCAGAGCAGGAACTGGCTTTCCTTTCAATGGGAACAATATTGTCTTTGACTGTAAATCAAATCAGGTATGTTTGTGAAGCTCCTAAAATCTGATGCCATGAAAATGTCAGTTCTGGCTGGGCCCAGTGGCTGTAATCCCAGCACTTTGGGAGGCTGAGGCAGGAGGATCACAAGGTTAGGAGTTCAAGACCAGCCTGGTTAAGATTGTGAAACCCAGTCTCTACTAAAAATACAAAAAATTGGCTGGGTGGGTGGCAGGTGCCTGTAACCCCAGCTGCTCAGGAGACTGAGGGAGAGAATTGCTCGAACCCGGGAGGTGGAGGTTGCAGTGAGCCTAGCGCTGCTGTACTCTAGGCTGGGTGACAGAGCAAGACTCTGTCTCAATAAATAAATAAAGTAGACTCTTTATGTTTTCCTATTAAGAGACGATCCAAGGCAAACCCTTACTCACAATTACGCAAAAAGGTAGAGAAAAATATTAATAGTTACAACCTATGATTGTCCCCAACACATTTTTCTTTCTCTCTCTCTTTGTTTTTAAAGATGGGGTTTTACCATATTGGTCAGGCTGGTCTCGAACTCCTGACCTCAGGTGATCCGCCCACCTCAGCCTCCCAAAGTGCTGGGATTACAGGCGTGAACCACCGCACCCGGCTTCCCAACACATTTTTCTTATTAACCCCAGGATATGTATTTACGGCAGGGAAGAGGGGGCGCTACAAAATCCTAGGAGAATTAAGCTCCTGCACAGAGGTCCTGTTATTTTGGTAAAGTACACATTCATAACATTCATCACTTTTACTAAGAACGTGCACTATTTTGTACAACCATCACCACTTTCTACTTCTGGAATTATCTCCTTACCCCAAACCGGAATCCTATACCCATCACTAACAACTCCCTGCCCCACCCACCCGCAGCCCCTGGCAATCAATAATCTGCTTTCTGCCTCCGAGTTTCTCAATTCCTTATCTCATTCCACAAAAAGGATTAAAGTCTTATGTAATCTTCAGGAAGTGGGATCATACCATAGAAAACTTTTTTTCTTTTTTCTTTTTGAGAAAAGGTCTTGCTCTGTCACCCAGGCTGGAGGGAAATTTGCAGCCATGGTTCCCTCAGCCTCAACTTCCTGGGCTCAAGCGATTCTCCCACCTCAGCCTTCCCGAGTAGCTGGGACTACAATTGCATCACCACGCCCAGCTAATTTTTAGAGGTTATTTTTGTAATAGAAACGGGATTTCCTTATGTTGCTAAGGCTGGTCTCGAACTCTGGGCTCAAGTGATTCAATTGTTTGGCCTCCCAAAGTGCTGGGATTACAGGTGTGATTGCATTGCAGCCACCAAGAGGTTTTTATTTTTTAGTTTAATTATTTTATTTATTTACGTTTTTTGAGATGGAGTTTCGCTCTGTTGCCCAGGCTGGAGTGCAGTGGTGCAATCTCGGCTCACCTGTTTTGGGGTTCATGCGGCTCTCCTTCAGCCTCCCGAGTAGCTGGGATTACAGACGTGCGCTACTACGCCCAGCTAATTTTGGTGTTTTTAGAAGAGATGGGGTTTCACCATGTTGGCCAGGCTGGTCTCAGACTACTGACCTCAAGTGATCCCCATGCCTCAGCCTCCCAAAGTGCTGGGATGACAGGTGTGAACCACCCTCCCAGCCATTAAAACTTTTTTTAAAATAAAGGAAATAACAAAAATAACATTAAGGCTGGGCATGGTGGCTCACGCCTGTCATCCCAGCACTTTTGGGAGGCCGAGGTGGGTGGATCACAAGGTCAGGAGTTCAAGACCAGCCTGGCCAACATGGTGAAACCCTGTCTCTACTAAACATACAAAAATTCACCTGGTGCAGTGGTGTGTGCCTGCAGCCCCAGCTACTGGGGAGGCTGAGGAAGAAGAATCACTTGAACCCGGGAGGCGGAGGTTGCAGTGAACTGAGAACATGAAATAGTTCTACTGTATAGCATAGTGATTGTAGTTCACAGCAATGTACTGTGTCGTATTGGAAGTTGCGCCTGGCTTGAACCCAGGAGGCAGACGCTACAGTGAGCCGAGATTGTGCCACTACACTCCAGGCTGGGCAACAGAGCAAGATTCTGGCTCAAAAAAAAAAAAAAAAAAAAAAAAAAAAAAAATCCACAAAAATCGGCTGGGCGTGGTGGCTCGTGCCTGTAATCCAAGCACTTTGGAGGCCAAGGCCGGCGGATCACCTGAGGTTGGGAGTTTAAGACCAGCCTGACCAACATGGTGAAACCCCGCCTTTAAAAAAAACAAAAACAAAAACAACCATTACATAGGTCTACTATACAGGATGGTGACTGTAGTTCACAGTAATGTATTGGGTACTTGGAAATTGCTAAGAGAGTTGATTGGAAGTGTTCTCATGACAAAAAACTGGTAAGACTGTACCGTGAAATATGTACTGTGATGTACAGCCTATGAGAGTTTGCTCAATTTAGCCATTGCACAAGGCACACCTATAACGCTGTGCACCATGCACATACACGATTAAACATACGTATTTCTCAATTTGAAAGTAAATTAGGCCTGGCGTGGTGGCTCACCCGTCACCCCAGCACTCCCGGAGGTGAAGGCGGCAGAATTGCGTGAGCCCAGCAGTGAACCGTGATCGTGCCTCTGTGCTCCAGCCTGGGAGACACATCCAGAGACCTTCTCGTTTTGTTTATTTATTTTTAATTTATTTTTTGAGACAGAGTTTCGCTCTTGTTACCCAGGCTGGAGTGCAATGGCGCGATCTCGGCTCACCGCAACCTCCGCCTCCTGGGTTCAGGCAATTCTCCTGCCTCAGCCTCCTGAGAAGCTGGGATCACAGGCACGCGCCACCATGCCCAGCTAATTTTTGTATTTTTAGTAGAGACGGGGTTTCACCATGTTGACCAGGATGGTCTCGATCTCTGGACCTCGTGATCCACCCGCCTCGGCCTCCCAAAGTGCTGGGATTACAGGCGTAAGCCACTGCGCTCGGCTATTTATTTTTTATTAAGTAAATCAATACTTGTGATTCTCCTGCCTCAGCCTCCTGAGTAGCTGGGATTACAGGCGCCCACCACCACACCCAGCTAATTTTTGTATTTTTAGTAGAGAGATGGGGTTTCACCATGTTGGCCAGGCTGGTCACGAACTCCTGACCTCGTGCCTTGTGATCCACCCACCTCGGCCTCCCAGAGTGCTGGAATTATAGGCATGAGCCACCGTGGCTGGCCGTAAATCAATTTATTTTTAAAAAGCATACAGATATAAGGGAGAAAAGGCAGCCTGAAATTCTGGGAATTAAAGAGGTTTTCCTGCCGGGTTCCTTAAGTGCCCCTGTTCAGGAGGTGGAGACTGAGGCGGGGCAAATTGCTTGATTCGAGGAGCTGGAGACCAGCCTGGGCAAAGTGGTGAGACCACATCTCTCCAATAAATGAAAAACGCAGTCGGGCAGCGTGGTGTGTATTCCTGCAGCCCCAGCTAGCGGGAGGCTGAGGCCGGACGATGGCTTGAGCCCGGGAGTTCCAGACCAGCCTGGGCAAGGAGCGAGACCCCAACTCCAAAAAATAAAACAAAAACCTAACCATGATGAGAAAGTTAGTATTTCTTTTTCCTTCCTTCTTTGAGACTTAGTCTCCCTCTGTTGCCCAGGCTGGAGTGCAGCAGCGAGCTCCGCTCACCGCGACCTCCGCTTCCCGGGTTCGAGCCCTTCTCCTGCCTCCGCCTCCCACAGGGCTAGGATTACAGGCGCGTGCCACCACGGGCTTGGCTGATTTTTTTTTTTTTTTTTTTTTTTTTGCATTTTAGTGGAGACAGGGTTTCACTATGTTAGCCCGGATAGTTTCGAATTCCTGACCTCGCGATCCGCCCGCCTCGGCCTCCAACAGTGCTGGGATGAGCCACCGCAGCCGGCAGGCCGAGAGAGTTAGCATTACTCCTGTTTCACAGAAGCGTTACTTAACGAGTCAGAGTTAATAATGGGGTGCAAAGGGGACCCGCGGCCTTCACAAGGTCTCCGAGCAAATGCCTGGGAACGTAAACCCAAACCTTTCTGAACACAACCCCTGCCCGCACGCCACCTCCTAAACCCCGTAGGCATCCCCATGGGTCGCTCACCGCCTTCCTGGCTTCCGACTCCGACCTCCTCGCGTGTGGGATGCGCTCTCCATGCGGCCAGGAGCTGAACTGCTCTATTTATACAGAGCCAGAGGGACTCCAGGCCCGTTTTCTGTCTTGCCCTACGCCGCCCCATGATTGGTTTAGGGCCATAGAATCCATTTTCGGTGATTGACGTTGATTGCATTTCCCAGTGAAACCCCACCCACAGGAAATTAAAGTATTAAGCATGCCTACTGTGCACATACCATTGGTTGTCCCGCTCTACTGAGTTATTTGTCATATTTCTGAAGTATTTGTAGGCCTCAGAAAATAGAGATCTGTAAGTTTTAGCCACTTTGGGTGACAGTAATATCCTAACAAGTAAAGGACGTGTTAAGAGCTGGTTGACACCGGGCGCGGTGGCTCAAGCCTGTAATCCCAGCACTTTGGGAGGCCGAGGCGGGTGGATCACGAGGTCGAGAGATCGAGACCATCCTGGTCAACATGGTGAAACCCCGTCTCTACTAAAAATACAAAAAATTAGCTGGGCATGGTGGCACGTGCCTGTAAT